ATAAATAAAAAGAGGAGAATAGGGAAATTTTTAAAAAGGAAGAGAAAATGAACAAGACGGAAACCAAAAAAGTAATGGGCAGAAAACAAAGGGGAAAAGTGAGGGGAAATCTTGCTTCACAACTGAGAAAAGAAGTGGAAAAATGGAAAGGGACAGCTTGCGGAAGCTACAAATAGTGAACAGGATTGAGACAGCCAAGTATGGTGTACCAGCATCTCTTTGGCAAAGAATTTTTTGCCCTGCTTCCTCTCCACATCAGGATGAGCTGATCTCTTGTGTTATCATGAGGGCACAGCCACTAGAAAGGAAGTAGCCTTGGGGTATGGAGGGTATATCTTACCCCATAATGTGCACCTAAGATCAAATTGTATCCATGTGCTTTATGGTATAAGCCAGAGGCCAGCAGCAGCAGGTCCCCAAGGGAGTGTCAAAATGTCAGGTGATAGGCACAAGTCTATGATTGAAGCCTTCCATCTTGATTTTTTTGACCACCCCCCGGGGGTGCCAGCAGTGTTGGCTGATAAGTATAATCTGTCAGCATCTGAACTGGGCTGGGCAGTTTGTCCCCTCTACTTCCACACATACATGCACCACCTTCTCTTTTTAGTTTTTGGTAAATTTCAGTATGGCATTATTCTGTTACTTGCTTGTGTGTGGGATTTTTCCCCCCCGTTAATTAGTTCAACGCATTTTTTTAATGACATGAATTGGATGTCAGAGACCATTGGATGTATGTAATTCAGAATTTACTGTAACTCCTCTAAATTTCCCATATCATATGATTTTTTCCCTATTTGGGAGCAATTTAAATCCATTCTTAAACAGAAACATCTGCCTAAGACAAAAAGTCTAAAAATATCAGCCTGCCTGCCCACTCTACTAACTTTATCTGCTAACTAGCATCATGTTATATCTACTAACATCATTGTCTCTATAGTCATCAGGCAAGACACAAACACAGGCTAGTGTAAACTAACATACACTTCAGACTTCTCCAACCTGGTGTTTTTCAGATGCCCAAATTTCCTAGCCATGTTGTAGAATTCTGATAAACAAAAATGCGCACACACATCTACAGTATTCCAATCTCCTCTCCTCTCCTCTCCTCTCCTCTCCT